TTTATTTTAATCTTATAATGTGATCTTATTTGGTGTATTGTGACGGTGATGTTGTATTGATTTTGATTGTGTTTGATTGATTTTTTGATTGTGCAAATAGAACTGGTTTCTGTTTTGTTTTGCTGTGGAGTTTGGTGTGTAGAGGGAAAATCAGATGGTGAAATGAGTGATCTGAGAGTTATGTGAAGTTGAAGGGAAATAGATTGGAATTGAAGATGTTTTTCGTTAATTTCTAGCAGATGTGCGTGCTTATTGATGGATGAAGGGGAGTGTGTGTTTATGTGGAGTGTTCGAGCATGCATGAAATGAGCATTGAGAATCTATGAATTGATTTGAAAGCAAAAGATTCGTTAAAAAATCTTTTGCATAGCATTGATATCAGATATTGAAGATGATTTTGAGTCGACGAAAAACGAATTCAGGCATATTCCATGGCCTGAGGATGTGGATCTTCGTGGACCGTTGTTCATTGCTGCAACAGCAAGAGCAGCAACACAGGCTGAAATTAGAGATGAAGTACAGAAATGTCGGGATTTGGCATTCCAGAATGTTTATGGTTAGTTGTCCAATTTCTTATTGGATGGTTTATTTTGATGGTGTAACTCGCATATAAGACGATGCTATTGTTGTTTTTTGAAAATAATGAAATCAGTTATTTTAATAATGGGATAAATCAAAGTGATATAAAAATGTGATATAATGATACTAATTTTGATATAATATTAATGATGTGATATAATAATATAATGTGATATAAGTGTTATAATAATAATTTTAATAATGAGATGTAATCTTATAATGTGATCTTATCAAATGAGAGGCAAGAAATTGATATTGGTTTTGTTATTGCCTTATTCTTCGATGGGATTACAAAAACGGGAATCGGTAGATTAATCGGTAGATGAAGATAGATTCTGGCATAAGTGATATGTTGCTTGGTTGAGGCGAGGCTGATGGCGGATATGGAGGACTGGATCGGGAGTATCCGTTAAGCTATCCGAGTGGTGCGATCGTAGGTAGAGCGATGCTGATGGAGTGTTTATCGTTGGCTGAATATGTGGAAAGGGTAAGGATTCGTTGCTTGATTCGTCGCTCAGTGCAGTTCAGCGTCATATTTTGTCCATTTATTCTCATTTTCAAAAATTTTATTTTTATTTTTTCTTTTTGAGCAGAAGTAATGAAACAAATTTAACTGAAAACGTTTTGATAGTTATTCGCATTTTGCATTAATGAATCTTGATTTAATTAAATGATGCAGTGTAGTGTGTGTAATGTATCATTATTGGTTAGTTAATTTGAATAATGTAAAAATAATTATTTTTGTCCATTGATATACAACTGACAATAACAGTGTAAGTTTGTGAATGCTTGGAAATTTGTAAGTGAAGGTACCAGATTTACTTGTTTGAATTGCAGTATCCACAAGGTGAGTGTGCAGACTCGCAAGAAGGTTTTGTGTTGATATTCAAAGTGTTCGATCCGTTGTTGGTGCCCATTCCGCATCTGCCACCGCAGTCTTCTTCGCTTTCATCATCGTCTCAAAGTCATGAACTTTACACGATTAATAAACAACTGAGGACTGCAATCAAACACATTCTTGACCCGTATAGTTTCAGTTAATTTCGGTTGCTTTTGCATGCTTCAACTGGAAAGGGTTGTTAGTCGGGGAAGTGGAATTTCTTTTTTGAGGTGGTGGATAAAAATGGGTGAAGAGAATCTCTTCAGTCTTGGAATGGCTTCCCTAACTGATTTTGGTGTTTAAGTGTTTTTGATGAATTGGTATTGATAAGGTTATTGTTTCGAAAGGTATTGATATGATTAATTTATTGTGTGAATTGCGGTGATTTTGATATATATTTTTATTATTTATGTGTGTTGTTATTATCATCAGATTGTTAAACTGTTGTGGATGGAATAAAACTGCAGTTTACAGTTATATTATACTGATGAGATATTTAACATTGTTGCCGTCTTATTCAATGCATTCGATGCGTATCTGTTTACGATGATGATGAACTATAATCGCAAGTGATGTTCTGTTCGAAGTTGTGAATATTAGTTGAGGCAAAACTGAAACATTTCTTTGGAAACAATAATGTAATGAAGAGAATATGAAATCAGTGAAGTCGTAGAGGAATTTCTTTCCTTTAATTGAGCAAAAAGGTCTCGGAGTAACTAATGAAACACTTCGGATTAGGTGATTTTCTCTTGTTTAACAATAGGTAAGCTTTCATTTTTGTTCATAGAAATTTTAAATGTAAAATCCAGCAATTGTATTTTCATTCAGT